CCACTTTGCTGCCAGCTTTCTCATTTCCAAGTCGTTGTGGATAATGGCACCAACTCTCTCATGTGATATTCTCAGATGTATAAAAATACTTTTGGCTGATATTCGGCAGTTCTCCATGATCCTGTCATGGATGGCTTTCACATTTGCAGGCACAGAGACAGAAACAGGCCTTCTACTGGGTTTCCCACTTTCCACACTGAAATGGCCAGTTTTAAAACTGACAACCCAATGCTTAACTGTTGCATATGAAGGGCCACTGTCACCCATAGTTTGTGACATTTCATCATGGATCTGCTATGCACCCTTCCCTTGAAGAATCAAGAACTTGATTACGGTCATATGCTCTTCCACATTGAACTTTTCTGGAGGTGCTGCCATGTTCACTTTGGACCTGAACATGAAAGATAAGTTAAAATCGTTGGTAGTTGATTTTTGCACCATTGAATACAGACAAATTGGCCAATACACCCTGCAATTTATAGCTTCCTAGCTGAAGTTTTCCTGGGAAAGGCCCAATACTTATCAGCACCCTCTCGTACTGAAGGAGTTCCTACCCTGTTCTTCACAAAAAAGGAAGAAGAAAAGAGATTCTCAGAACTTAAAAATAATTAGTTCCTGCCCTCACAATGACACTTAAAAAGTATGAGGCAGGAAAAAAAGGGGCTGAGAAGGAGAAATCAAGCAGGTAAAGTAAAGGTGGTTGATTCACATGTGCAGGTGGAGGGGATCCAGTTTAATACATAAGAGATCTCAAGAATGTCCCCATTTGTGGTTAGGGAAACTGGAGAGACAGTTTTGCCACGGTGTGTTTCAAAAGTGGGGAATTTCTCCATCTTCTGAGAAATGGGCCTTACCCTTCTTACAGGTTGTAGCACATCTTCTATCTTCCATACAGATTTGTCTTTGTGACAGTGATGTAAATCGTAATACATGCAGTTACATTGAAATATATTTGTTAGTGCTAAAAGTGGCACTCAAAATTTTTTCTTTAAAACTTCCTGCTCTCTAGGGCTAGCAACCGGTACCCCATATCTAGCCTTGCCTGGACCCTGCCTGAAGGGTGAGATGCCTGTTCTTGTTACCATGTCAAGCCCCTTTTTACTTAAAACCATTCCAGTGGGGTTTCCAAAGTGTGTGAGATGCTTAAGAGGTGGTTAACAGTGCTCCATTAGTTAGCTGTAACTAACTTCTTATTTGTGTAAGGAGGGCAAAACTAAGGTGCATTTTTAAAAATAATAAAAGGATTAGTAACACAGTTGTTCTCTCTGCAGTTAACCATGTGCATTTTAGAGGTACTGTATTTTAATAGGAACTTAAGTTTTATGCCATTCCCTTAACAGTCCAGAATAGCAAAGAAAGTGTTTCTTCTTTACTCTTTTCTACATATTTTCAAGGTACAATATCAGAATTGGCCAGGAGGGGGAATTAAACTCTATTGCTTTGTATTTTTCTAACAGTTTTCAAAGTAGCTGTGATCACCTGTCTCAGCATATTGGCACTACAAAAGAAGGAAGAAGAAAGATAAAGAAAGAAAATTTAATAAGAAAAATGTAGCATTTTAAAGACTTAACAATTTTATTTCAGTATGAACTTTGAGGACGTGAAATGAAATAAAATTTTTAGTGTTTAAAGTGCTGCAATATTTTGGTTTCCTTTCTCCTCTCTCTTTTCTTTTTCTCTTTTTCCAACATGCTATAATGCAAGTTGAATTACTTTTTGCAAATGGAACATTTAAGGGAGTTCAAAGCATGTGCAAAGTTAATTCTCTCTCTCTCTCTCTCTTTTTAAAAAACAAAAACAAAAAACTCTCCCTCCTAGTCAAGGGATCGTCTCTCTCTCTCTCTCTCTTTAAAAAAAACAAAAACAAAAAAAACCTCTCCCTCATAGTCAAGGGATCGGAAAGTGGTTGGAGATCCTGATGGTGCAGCTAGCTATGGGAAGACAGCCAGGTGCCTGAACATCACTTCGTTGGTACTGTCCATCACATTCGTCATCATCTTTATCATCGCAATTGTCTCTGTCGTAACAAGTATGTCTTGATGGAGTGGACCAAATTAACTGAGGCTGGGATGAATGGGAAAGAAGTCTTGCATTGAGGATTTTCTCTCCAGCATTGTATATGAGTAAAAAACTCAGTCAGCGCTTGCTTTTGCTTTGAATGGACCTGGCCTGCCCTTTCACTTGTAAGCAGTGAAGCATTCTACAAAGCTACTAGTACTGCTTGCACTTCTGGAAATGGAGATCTGTATGCTTCTAATCCTCTCTAGCTGCTGTTTTCCCATCAATATGAACTGAATGGTGACTTGGATAGGAAACAGCAGCTAGGGAGCATCCAGTCTGAGATATTCACAGAGGAGCAAAATGTTCATATGAGTGGTGATTTCTCCAGCTGCTGGCTTTTTGTCCTTCCTAATCACTGCTAACTCATGGGAACCCATCAGCATTTTTCTTGTTTCTTTCAGCATTTTAAGAAGCCTTTTCACTCAAGATATGTATTGTTTTTTTCTGTATGTCAGCATGAAATGCAGGGTGAATTGTGACCAAATAAAAGCACACACTTTTGATTCTGTGTAAACAGTATATTATTGTTGGTTAAAACTCTTAAGGTCAAAATACTTATTCTGCTTTGCAGGGTTCTTCAACTCAGAGTTAATTTAGTTTTTGTCCTTCTTTTATAGACTTATTCTGGCCATGCTCAAAGTTAACAGACAAATGAATGAAAATAAGAATGCCTAGTGAAAAAAGTGATTACTCTTTACTTTTAGTATGTTCTTCTATTCAAAACTAGACCTTTCTACATTCCTGCTGGAGTAAAGCAAAAGCAAAGCCTTTTGCTTCTTGACTCTGAGCAGAGCACAGCTGACAAAGCTAAAGACAGACTCAGGGAGCCCCCATAAAGCTAAAGGCAGACTCAGGGAGCTCATAAACAGGAGACCAAACAGGAAGTTTGCGGGGGGGGGGGAAGCCCCTAACCAATTTTTCTGGTTCCTTTGGGTATACATACAGCTACATTTAAACTAACAACAAAAAAGAGGAACAGGTATCCTAAAGAAACAGTTGAAAGAAAAAAAAAGCAAGAAGGGATTATGGAGGGTGGAGACAATTCAATTGTGGTTACCTGCAAAGTTTGTCTTACGTCTTTCTTCCTGACTGTAAAATGACCTATACATGTAATAAGTGTAAATTTATGGCACTGTTAGAAGAGGAAGTCAGACCTGCAGCAGCGAGCAGGCACATTCAAGACTATAAGGGAAGATGAATGGATAAGGGATGTGATGGAAGGATTGCCATCGCTCATAAAACCTACAGATACGTATCCATTTTTTTTTGTCCACATGGGAACAAACAACATATGTGATGGAAGGATTGCCATCACTCAAAACCTCCAGATACGTATCCATTTTTTCTTGTCCACGTGGGAACAAACAACACAGCCAAAAGGAGCTACCAAGAAATCACATCTGACTTTGAAGCTGTGGGTAAGAAACTCAAAGATTTGGGGGCTCAGATAGTTTTTTTTCCCTCACATCTCTACCAGTGCTCGGAAGAAGAATTGAAAGAGAAAGGAAGATCCTCTGGGTGAATGACTTGGCTATGAAGGTGGTGTCGACAAGAGGGATTTGGTTTTTGGGACCACGGGCTAAGCTTCCTGGAAGAAGGACTGCTAGCAAGAGACGACTTGCATCTAACAAGGACTGGGAAGAATGTGTTTACCCACAGGATGAAGAACTTCATCAGAAGGGTTTTAAAATTGGAAGGAGGAGGGAAACACAAGCACAAGAGGAATGGATCAAACTGATCAAAAGGGCAACAATAGTAACATTAACAATAATAATCAGAATAATAAACACAAACAGAATAATATAGTAATATTCATAAAAATGTACAAAGAAAAACAGGCCACAAACCACACACCCTCTGGTGTCTGTATATGAATAACAGGAGTATGGGAAATAAACAAGAACAACATGTAATTTTAATTCAGGAGAGTAAGTATGACTTGATAGGAATAACTGAAACTTGATGGGATGATTCCCATGACTGGAATAGAGCAATTGAGGGATATAAACTGATAAAAAAGAACAGAGAAAATAAAAAGGGAGGTGGAGTTGCTGCATATGTCAAAAATACACATTCCTGCACAGAAATACAGGAGGAGGAGATTGGCTGTCCCATCGAGAGCATCTGGATCAATCTAGTTGGGGCAAAAAACAAAATAAACTTGGTAGCTGGAGTCTACTGCTGACTGCCCAATCAAAGAGAGGAAGCTTTTGAAAAATAAATTGCAGGGTTTTCAAAGAGAGACAATGTAGTAGTAATGGGAGATTTCAATTATCCAGATACATGTTGGGAGGCAAATTCTGCCAACTATGGCCCTTCCAAGAAATTCCTGGCCACACATTTCTGCTGGATTTTTTAAAAAGCCAATTTTAATAATCTCAGAATAAGGATAGGTAAGGTCCCATGGCAGGAGATCCTAACAAGAAAAGGAGTCCAAGAAGGGTGGGAGCTTCTAAAAAAAGAGAAATTCTAAAAGCACAATTACAAACAATTCCAACAAGAAAAAAAAAAGATGGAAGGTGGCAAAAAAGGCCAGTATGGCTTCACAAAAACTCAGGGAGGACCTAAAAAACAAAAAATGAAAGGTACAGGAAGTGGAAAGAAGTCCAGGCCACCAAGAATAAGTAGACATGTAGCAAGGAAATGCAGGGATGGCATTAGGAGGGCAAAAGCTGAGAATGAGCTGAGGTTAGCTAGAGACACTAAAAGCAATAAAAAAGCATTCTTCAGGTATGTGAGCAGCAAAAGACAAAAGACATAGTGACAGCTCCACAACAGAGATGGAAAAATGATAACAGAGGACAAAGAAAAGGCAGAGGTGCTCAACTTCTATTTTAGTTCAGTCTTTTCCCAAATTGGAAGTGCGGGGGGGGGCAGGTTTGCAGCTAGAGATTGATAAACAAATAGTCAAGGAACACCTTACCACCTTGAATGAGTTCAGATCTCCAGGGCTGGATGAACTGCATCCCAAGAGAATTGAAGAAACTGGCTGAAGAACTCTCAGAATCACTATCAATTATTTTCTTGAAATCATGGGAAATGGGTGAGGAGTCAGAGGATTGGAGGAGGGCTAATGTTGTCCCTATCTTCAAAAAGGGCAAAAAAGAGGAGCCTGGGAACTACAGGACAGTCCACCTGACATCAATCCCAGGCAAAATTCTGGAACAGATCGTAAAGCAGTCATTGTGCAGGCACCTAGAAAACAATGCAGTAATAAGTAGAAGCCAACACGGATTTGTCAAGAACAAATCCTATCAAACTAATTTGATCACATTTTGATCAGCTAACCTCCCTGATAAACAGAGGGAATGCTGTAGCTGTAGTATGTCTTGACTTCAGGCACTGAGCCAAAAACAACAATGAAATTCAGCAGGGATAAGTACGAAGTACTGCACCTCGGAGAAAGAAACCAATTGCACAGTTACAAGATAAGGGATACCTGACTCAGCAAAACTATGAGTGAGAAGGATCTTGGAATTGTTGTAGATCACAAGCTAAATATGAGCCAACAGTGTGATGTGGCTACAAAAAAGGCTAATGCTACTTTAGGCTGTATTAATAGACCTATAGTTTTCAAATCCCACGAGGTGCTGGTCCCCCTCTATTCAGCACTGGTTAGGCCTCACCTTGAGGCTTGTGTCCAGTTTTGGACACAACACTTCAAGAAGGATGCTAACAAATTGGAACAAGTTCAGAGGAGGGCGACAAGGATGATCAGAGGGCTGGAAAACAAGCCTTATGAGGAAAGGCTCAAAGAATTGGGCATGTTTAGCCTTGAGAAAAGAGGACTGAGGGGTGATATGATAGCACTTTTCAAATATTTGTAAGGCTGTCATACAGAGGACGGGCAGGATCTGTTCTCAATCATCCCAGAGTGCAGGACATGCAACCATGGACTACTCAAGTTAAAGGAAGCCAGATATCAGTTGAATATCAGGAAAACCTCCTAACTGTTAAAGCAGTATGACAGTGGAAACAGTTACCTCGGGAGTTGGTGAGTGCTCCAACACTTGGATAATCACCTGACAGATATGCTTTGACTGTATTCCTGCATTGAGCAGAGGGTAGGACTTGATAGCCTTGGCCCCTCCAACTTCACTTTTCTGTTCTGTGAAAGTGTGCTTCTTATATACTACCCCATAGGTGGCTTACAAGTTAATTACAGAGGTTACACATTGTTCACCCTCCCCAGCAAACTGGATACTCATTTTATCAACCTGGGAAAGATGGGAAGCTGAGTGAACCTCGAGTCAGCTACCTGGGATTGAACCCCGAGTCATGAGCAGAGTTGTGGCTGCACTCCACCAGTATAACCAATGTGCCACAAGGTTCTCTGAGTTGAAAAAGAAATCCCTATGTGCCAATAAAGTAGGAGGTAGGGTATCTATCTATCTATCTATCTATCTATCTATCTATCTATCTATCTATCTATCTATCTATCTATCTATCTATCTATCTATCTATCTATCTATCTATCTATCTATCTATCTATCTATCTATCGCCAGACTTTGACAAAATTAATAATACAATATTAAAACTAGTAGGAATCAAAATTAATCATCTGGTGACATTCTAAAATAGGTCCACAGTTCTTTCAGTGGAAGAATGTTTTTCAGTAATTCTTTGTAAAGTTCTGCCTTGGCCAGTTTTCCAAAAGTGCTAAGGGAGGTGCCTGACACATCCCTGATGGAAGAGCATTCCATAATGAAGGGGCCACCATTGAGAAGGCTTGATTTCTAGGTGGTGCTCTTTTGGACTCTCTTGGCGTGCCCCCTTTAAGAAGCAGCACCTGGGAGGAGCATTACAAGCATATAAACCAGGGATCAGGGAACTTTTTTTACCTTTTACCCCCCCCAAAAAATTATATGTGTTGACATTACCCCCCTTTGGATCTTGCCATCAGCGGACGACACCCACCTCGCCTCTGCGCTTGCCCGGGACCTGTAGCCACCGTCCAGGCAGCCAGTCTGGAGCTGCCACACCGCTGGGAAAGCACATCCTTGGCAAGGGGAGGTGGGCACCACAGGGCCAGCAGGTCCACTGGCCATGAGCTCAGGTAAGGCAGGGTGGGAAGGGGGCCTCCTCGCCAGTTTACTGGGCAGGTGGACGCGGGCAGGAAGGAGGGCCCTGGGCAGGGCTCTGCCGGGCAAAGAGTCCAGCTGGCCTGGTACGCCCCCCACACACACTTTGGAGGCGAGGACAGGCGGCTGCCCTGTGCAGTTCCTTGCCAAGGCTTGCTGTCCCTGCAACGAAACACCCGCCTACACACAGCATCGTCGGAAATAAAATGCCTGGGGGTAAAATGCCTGCCGCAACTGTCCTCATTACCCCCAGGATTTTCATTTTTTCTCCATTTGGGGTAATTTACTCCTGTTCCCTGACCACTGATAAACAGTTGTAAATCTTTCCCCATGTTCCTAGAATGGTGGTCTCCCTTGTTTGTGATCTGTCCTTGCTTACAATATCTAACTGATACTTCAACTTGACTGGCCCTCAAAATGCTCCTG